AGGGGCATTATCCAGCCTACCTCCGAGGTGACTGGTGTACTCCCTGCAGTAACCAACTGTATAATGGTGAGGAAACAGACCCCTATGTACAAGTGTGTGAAGACTATGGAGCAGGAATTTCATGTTGCTTGAAGGGATTAGGGATGACTTGAAGAAGAAAGAAGAAAGGTTTAAATGGGTGTGAAAGTGCATTTCAAGTAAACAGAATAGCATAAGCAGAGGCATTGAAGGATATGCTGAGTTTAGGAGATGCAAGTAATGATACGACGATTCACCGAAAGGTGCTGAGTAATAAAACAGGAAAAGGTTAGGCTATGGCTGTGTGCAGAGAGCCTTGAATGACCAGCCCAGAGTTCAAACTTACCTTGTCACACAGTGTGAGAACCCCAGGTTCCTGAGCTGGGCCATATATGATTAGATTCGTGTTTCAGCCCAGGCAGTAGATGATGAGAGGCTGGTGTACAAAAGTCTCAGTGGGCAGAGAGATTGGGGGTGAGAAGATATGTTTTGATAGTAGAAATATTAAACTTACTAGTAATGCTTCAATTAAAAAGTTGAGTTTAAAAGTAATTTCAGTAATGTTCTTTTCTAAAGGCAGTACTCTACCAAAAGTTAGTTCCTTGTATATACCTACGGAGATTTAAAAGGAGCTATAAACTCACATATTCAGTGTGATGTGGGAGATGCAGATAAAATGAACGTGTATCTTGGACATTTTTTTTTTCAAATTGGAACATTATTGTCTTTTAAGCACAGAATCAAGCATGACTTGGAGGATGGGTAGGTGCTATATAGAATTTGCAAGTAAGTCCATTTCCTCATGTATGACCTTAATAATTATACAAAAGGTATAAAAGCCGTAACTGCTATACAGACTAAATGCACATTGGAACACTGAAATCCTTAAAGTAAATTTCACTTTAATCGCTTTAATGTCAACTAGATTTTTTCCCCTTTTACCTTATCTAAATCTTGATCAAGAATTTCTGACTATCCAGAGGCCATTGTGTAAAATAAAACACATGTATACCTCCTTTAACAAACATTTATAGAACACTTAAATTGTATTTAAGGTTATAGGAATAGAGACAAGCTACCAGGCTCATTTTCACTCTCCTGAGTTATGATTGATGCTAATACTTTTTGATTGAAATATTTCCTACATCTCATGAAATGGTGTCTTGAGTAGCCCATGTGAAAAAGTTGCCATATAAACAGCACTGACCAGCAGAAATATAATGCAAGCTTCATGAATAAAGTATTTTAGCAGTCACATTTAAAACAGTAAATAGAGGCTGGGGGAAGGTCAAGGAGAAAAATAAAAAGACAAATGTACTACTCTGTAATATTTTAAGCAATAAAAAAAAGTTAAGACAGTAAATAGAAACAGATAAAGTCAACTTCCAATACGTTTTATTTACCCCAATATATCTAAAATATTTCAACATGTAATCGATATAAAAATTTTACGTTTGTTATACTATGTCTTTAAAATCTAGTGTATATTTTATAATTCAACCCATCCATTTGGACACTAACTTCATTAGAAATACTTGATCTATTTTTAGATATAAAATTTGCAGTAGGTTCACATACTTACTCCAAGCATGCTTAAAACAAGCGTTCCAAACATTGTAAGCTTTCTAATAGCTGAATTGGTAAGTTTTTAAATTAAAATGGGAAAGAAAACGTCCTCCTTCTAGACACATTTCAAGTGCTCAGTGCACATGTGGCTGGTGGCTGCGGTATTGGAGAGGACAGCTCTAACATGGTCTCACCCCAGGGTTACTTTTGAAATGCATTTTTTTCAAATGTGTATAGACTTCAGTCTTATTTTTTATTTACAGTGTAATTGATGTTTCCTTTTTGGTTCCAAATTCCTTGATCTAATTTTCCTTTCTTTCCAAGACATGCTTGCTTATTTGTTTCATCCGGGGTCCTCATTTAGTTCATGGCACTGTACAGTTAAATGTAGTGAGATTAGGTCAGGGAGACAGTCCCCTCTACAACCTCTATTTCTGTCTTATTAACCAACCCTGCTTCCCTGTATTTTAATCATGCATAGTAGCCCTTTGTAAGCACTTTATATTTTCAGAGTGCTCTCATAATATCTAGTTTGATCCTTCCAACTTTGTGAGTAGATCTAGTTTTAATCCTGGTTTATAGATAAAGAAATAACCACCAAGAGGTTTTTTATATTTCCCAAGTCACATAGATAGTGAGGAAGCTGAGTTAGAATTCATATTAACTTTTTTTCAATTGCCTTTTGTTTTACACTGTGACACAATAGGATGTCAGACCCTGTCTCTTACTAGTCCCATCCAACCCTGTAGTCAGCCTTAAAAAATTCCTGGGATTAAAAAAATAAAATCCATGTTTATAAAAATTGAATATTCTCATTTTGAGAACAGGATTCTTCGTTTCATTTAAATGACTGTCTTGCAGTGAGTTGGCCAGGAGGAACGCATCTCCTTGTTGATATATATGTAGAGCCATGCAGTAAATGGGAAAAGAGCAATTACAGTGGCAACAACCAACTGAATTCTCCCACCAACTGGATTCCTATAAAGACACAAAAATTATCATAAATAAAAATCCAATAAAATTATAGATTACATTGGAAACAAGTATAAAGATATAATTTGGTAAAACATCATTTTTTGTATGATCCTTTTTTTAAAATACTGAACTGTAACTTACTGATCGTATGAATTTATATATTCTTAATGTAAATCCTGGTTGTTTACATGTGTTGCAAATAGCTTTTCCCACTCAGTGATGTCTTAGATAATTATTGGAGGAACTGAAATGATTGTTAAAATTTATCTTTTCTTAATGATTTTTGTGTCCTGTTTAAGAAAACTTCCCAGAGGTCTGGAAAATATTAAGTTATCTTTTCTAAGTTTTATTTTCACATTAGATCTATAATCCACCTGGAATTGATTTTTGTGAAAGTTGTAAGGTGAGGGTTGTTTCACTTTTTTCCCTTATGCTATTCAGTTGCTCCAGCGCTGTTCATTGAAGACTGCCTTTCTTTGCTACCCTGCCGCACCACTGTGTCATAAGTCAAGGGTCTGTGTGTATGGATGGATCTCTTTGTAGATTCTATTTTGTTTCATTAATTTATCCTTTTGCCAGTAATAGATTTTAGCCTATACTGCCACTGGATAATTATTTAGGTCTTCCTTATTTTAATATTTAGGTCTTTAATTTCTCCTACAATATTTTATAGTTTTGTGTAGAGATATTTTGCATCTCTATTAGATTTAGTTCTAGGAAGTTAATTTTTTATGTTATTATAAATGTTAACTTTGTGTTGCTGTTTTGTTACTTGCTGACAAAAGTACAGTTGATTTTAGTATATTGACCTAGTATCAAGCAATCATGTTAAGGTCACTTATACAAATAACTTTTTAGATTCTTTTTTATTTTCTATGTATGCAATCATGTCACCATAAATAATGAGCATTTAATTTTTCCTTCTCAATCTTTGAGCCTTCTTCTTGCCTTATTATACTGGTTAGGACAACAGCTAGAACAGTGCTCAGTAGAAGCATCAATAGTGACTAACCTCAGCTCATTCCTGATCTCAGAGGGAAAGTTTCACCTGCTCACTATTATGTATCATGCTTTGGCACAGATACCCTTTATCATGTTACTTCCCTTGGATGCCTATTTCCCAAGAGCCCTTACTATGAATGGGTATTGAATTTTATCAAATGCTCTTTTTGTATAGATTGAGAAGGTTGTTTTCTTTTATTCTGTGAATGCAGAAAGCATTTGTAGCTTTTTAAATATTACAACCATCTGTATTCCTAGAATAAACACAACTTGGTGGTTGAGTTATATATTGCAAGATTTAATTTGTTAATGTTTTGTTTAACATTTTACCATCTGTGGTCGTGAGATTGCTATGTAACTTCCTTTTGTTTTTGTATTATCAATTTTAGTATCATGAATATTCTACCCTAATAAAACGAATTGAAAAGTGTTTCTTTTTTTACTGTTCTCTAGAAGACTTTAAGTCTGACGTTATTTTTTCCTTAAATGTTAGGTAGAATTCTCCAGTTAGGCCATTTGGTCTAGAGTTTTCTTTCAGGAAAAATTTTAATTATGGACTCAATTTCTTTAATCTGTATGGGACTGTTCTGAGTACTTCTTGTGTCACTTTTGATAAATTGTATTTTTAATGAATTTGTCCATTTTTGCCTACATTTTCAAACTTATTGGCAAAAAAAATTGTTCATACTACCCACTTATGCATTTTGCAATATCTGTTATACTGTATAGTAACATTCTGTTTTTCATTCCT